ACATATATATATATATATATATACACACACACACACACACACACACACACACACACACACAGATTTATGTTGAGAATGAAATGAAATATCAATGAACTATGTCTTCAAAAGTTAGCGTGGCCAGCAGGATTGTATGTATCCAAACTGCACATGTGTTGGCGCACAGCAGCAAGAATAGTCAACAACATTGTACTGTATGCAGCAAACAAGTGTCCATGATTCCATAAACACTGTAGTCTTTATTTACACAGTACTGGAATAAACACCATCATTTTGTTAACTCAGCAGTGGAGCGACAACTTTATGAATTAAGTGAGACGAGATACACGGCAGTGAATATGAACAGCAGTAAAAATGGTCAGCATCATTATATGTGGCCAAAAAAAAAAAAACAACAACAACAGCAAATCAATAAATGTGGTGGGAATTAAAAACATATAATCAATAAACAGCACTTTGCACACACAGATGCACTATAAAAAAACACAACTTGTATTTTGGGGGGATAAAACTGTAATTTAAGTTGGAACAACTTTAAAATACACATGATTGATCTTTATGGGAACAATATTGGTTAGCACAACAAAGCAAGCTAATTGTTTCCTCCAGAGTGATTTGCTGAGCTGTTTTTACTTATATTTTGAAGTTGGGGGAGCAATACAAGGGACAACAGTTCTGTAAACTCTTATTTATTAAAATACTTTAAGTGCCCAACTTAAAACTTCATCAAAGGCTGTTAGTTCACCCAAGTTTTATTTTATTTTTTTTTCACAGTGCATGAACGCAAACAAGAGTTGGCCGTAGCATGGTACATGATGACTTATCACGGATCAACCAGTAATAACTATCAGCAGTGGAGAATTCATATCATATAAAGAGTATAAAAAGCACTACATGTCCCATGAAAGAAAAAAAAATAGTTTTTCCCAGTCAAGGCATTGCAACATGACTGCATTTTCACAATAGAGCAGACCTGGTTTACGTCAGGAGAGACGGATTCAAACCATGTGTTGAGGGTGTTTGTCAAAAAGGGGTGTGACAGCATGGGAACACGCTGACACATTTTGCAACTATTTAGCTGGATATAACTCAGAACGGCCTTCTCATGTCAAAATCATTTCTGACAAAAAAAAAAAAGTTAACCCTTTGATTGCTGATTTCTTTGTTTACACGCGCATAAAAAGGAAGGACTGCACTTTAATTGGCAGTTGCATAAACAACTTCAGTTCAACATTTTATATTACGGTGTCAGAATAATACACTACTTTTGTTCTTGCTCTGCAATTTTTTTTTTTTTAACCGCAACGAAAATGGGTGGAAAAAAACCCTATAAAAAAAGAAAAAAACTAGAGAGGAGTGAACACTGATACCGGGAATTAATAATTCGGTCTGAGGTCCCTGCGATTGGCTGGCAACTGGATGAGGGACTACCCCGTCTACTGCCCGAAGACAGCTGGGATAGGCTCCAGCACGCCCGCAACCCTTGTTAGGATAAGCGTTTCAGAAAATGGATGGCTGGATGGTATGAGGCCCTAGGTATCGCATGGTCTTGGTGGCTGCCGATACCAGTCACCGATACTTAAGGCAAAAAAAAAGTCTGACATCAAGTCAGCAGTAGTTGTCTTATATTGCGGTACTGTGACACATCAGCGAATCATCGAAGTCAGAAAGAAAGGTCTTTGTTCATGATGGGTGAGAACTCAAAGAGTGAATACTTGTACTGCTATAGGTCTGAACAAAAGTGGTAGCGAACATCCCCAGGAAAAAAATGGCAACAGCAATACCTTGGTCTTGTGGTTAGCATGTCTTATTTGTACATATTTACAACCGTAAACCTACACTAAATGTAAACTTGTCGCAAGTTTTAAAAGAAGTTGACTTATATTAAGACAATAAATCTCTCTCCTTTTATGTTGTGATGTCCGTCACACGCTTCTTTCAAGTAATGTGTATAGACCAAGCCCACCACACACGCACTCACTCTACAGAAAGCAACTACTGTAAAATGGACCATCACAAAAAAATGACCATCCAGCAGCAACAATGAATGAGCACCGCACACGGACCAGTGCGGAAAAATTGCGACCATGTATTATGTTTTGAGGCTCCACATATGATGTGATGTACTCTTTTTTTTTTACTTTTTTTTTTTAACCACAAAAACATGGCACATTTATCAATGAAGAAAGGGATTGTCACGAAATATTCAAAAAAAAGGGAGAATATATTTGAAAGGCTGTTAGCAAAGATTGACTATACAAAGGTGTGTTTAATCGACAGAGACTCTCCACACTTTGCTTTCTATTCACAGGTATATGTGAAATTATGATTTCATTTGTTGTTCATTTTAGTGTCTGGTGCCACTAAAAGTTGATCAAATGACTAATTTACATAAAAGAAAACATGGAATGCCTAAAAGCACCCTGTTTGGCAGTCCAATGCTAAAGCTATTGATGTAAGAACCTGTGAAGTGAATTTGATTATTTTCAAGAGCACTCATGTAAAATGTCTCCATTTTTATGCACTGTTTTTGTTGTCATTAATATATTGGTCCAAACAAACCAAACTTTAGTTGCACTAGACATTTAAAATGAACAGGAAACTGAAGAGACAAGGGGAGTCTCATTTTTTTCCCCATGGCTTTATAGTCATTATTGCAAAACACCACACAAAGAATGAATTGTCACCATTGGGCGGAAACCTCGTATGTCCTAATTTGGTCAATTTACATTTTTTTTTCTCAAATTGATACAAAGAAAGCGGAGCATCTAACTAATGTTAATATGCTTTTGCTTTCATGCTCAATAGAATAAGAATCTGAATTCTCATGTTGAATAATTTTTTTTCCTCTCCAAAATGTGTGTTGAAACTCCAAATTGTTTGACTTCTGAATCTGTCCAATGTGGTTCTCTCTCTCTTCCGGGTCTAACTCACGCTTGCTTCTTCTCCATGGTAACCGGAGTGGAGGCTCATGGGAATTGATGCGTTTGCAGCCCCGCCAATCCACGGAAGAAGTAAAGGTTCACTGTGAAAAAAATAATCAGAACGATGAAAACGGATGGATGGATGGATGAAAACGCGTTAATGGAGGGGGACTCTTTCGTAATCCCATGCAGGCTGATGAGTGGTAGATCGTCTCTTCGGGCTCCGTTTGGACTTGTGGCTGAGATGAAGCCCATGTCTTGTGTGCTGTTGCTGGCTTGGTGATTGTTTAAGACCAACATGTCAGCTCAGGGACTCCTGAGCAGTGTTTTCTCCTGCTCCATCAGCCCCAGGACCATCTCCAAACGTGGACTGAGGCAGACCAGGAGCCTGGACCCGGCATTGATGAGGCACTATGGAGCGGAGAGCACATCCTACCAGGTCAGACACCGCACTCAAGCTATAACTTGAACTTTTTTGTTAAACTAATGGAACTATATGTTTCTGTTCATACTGCATGAATAGAAAACAGGTTGAAAAAGAATGACTGATTTGGAATTCCACAAGGGATGGGGGAAGTCCCTCAGGGAGCATAAACGTGGCTTCTTATAATCTTCAGAGGGGATGAATAGAATACAATTAGGGCTTTGTTGGATAATTGACTGTATTAGATAAATTATGATACGGCAGCATGTTGTATATTTGTATTTACACTAGGCAACTTGACATGAATAATAATATTACAGTATATCAGTTCATTCATAGCTAGTAAGAATAGGTAGTAGCATTGTATGCAGCACCCCCCCCCAAAAAAATATATATTTAAATATATTACATATATATATATATATATGTATACACACACACACACATATATATATACATATACATATACATACATACATATACATATACATATATATACATACATACATACATACATACATAGCAAAATGAAGTTACGTTACTTAAAAGACTGCCAGTACTGTTCTGGGAGATGATGATTCTGATAACTGACTCTGGAACTGAATCATTTAATTTCCATGGGAAGATTGTTTGAACAAGTTGGACGTCTTTTTTGAACTCCAAAAGAATAACATAGTTTGAATTTAGGCCATACCACGTGATGTGTCATGCCACTGTCATGTTGCTGTGTGACTAAAAGGAGGATTTCATAGGCAAAGTGTCAGAGAAATGCATTGCACGCATGTAATAAATGGTCTTGTGCTTACTAGCTGGAGGGTTCAGTCGCCTGAGCTAACGTTAGAACAAAAGAAGAGTCATCTGGTTTATATGAGAACAGCCCTAGGTTCCCATAGTGGGCCAGCACGTCTTGATCCGTGGCTTCGCTTTACTGCAGGACCATATTTCTTCCCACAGTCGACTGTGCCCTTTTTTTGCATGGCGCGGAATTAAGCCTCCAATTTACCAATGCATCGCTATGGCAACTACTCCCGAGGCAGAGGGTGGATGGATACATCTAAGTACAGAGGTCATAATCAGGTCATTCAAATCTTGCGTTTGTTCCCAAGAGCTTATTATCTGCAGCGTGTCAAGTCACAGGCCGTTAAAATGACAGTGGGGAACTGTATCCA